ATTTTATGACAGTTAGCTACGTGATTTTCAGTAGGAACTTTCGTATCACGCACACTTGTTCCTCTTATCGATTATTTTTTATGATCTGTTATTTACTACTCGTGTAATAGGTCACGCAGACACATCCGTAAATTCGATTACAAACACAAGACTTACTCATCTCGAGTAAAAACAAGCGTACGTGATTATACAGTCGCTAAAAACATCCAGTTAACATGTTGACTGTAAAATTGCTCTTTACAATTTTGTTTGTAAACGTAAAAAAAAAAACAAAAAAAACGTTTACCTTATTAATCACTTAAAATTACTCTGGCTTTTGCCACTACCAACTTCTTTATATTTCATAAATCCACTAAGCCTCCAATGCTGTTACGATCATAAGGATATAATTTATGGTAAATATAACTACTCTCTTTTGAGTTAGAATTATTCACCACCACCCCCCTAGATCAACGGTAAGTTTGCGGACTTACAACGCAAAAAAATTAGGGTTCGATTCCGCGTGGTGGACTGAGCACAGACAGCATATTGTGTTGCCTTATGCTAAAAACCAAAAGTTCCAAGAATACGGTATGGTAAAATATATGTTAATAATATGTATTCTAATACTGTTATGCAATTAAAAGCATATACCCTAAAGTTAACTATACACTAGAGGGCGACACAAACCTTCAAAACCTAAGAACATCATAAACTGAAACAAATCACTATTAAAACTATTCGATAACTCAAACACTTTTTGGGTATACTCTTTCGAGTATGCAAAGTAAACGCTTTAATAAAAACTGCACCAACAATACTTTTACAGCGTTAGTGATATTTTATGTAGCTGTAATGGGTTTGGTTTTGTTTTTCTGTTCCAAAGAAGGTAAGTTTGTTGAATTTCGCGCAAAGTTACAAGAGGAGGGTTATTTGATCTAGCCTTTCTTAATTTTGAAGTGATAAACTAGAGGGAATACAACTAGTCAACACCACCACCCGCAAAATCATAAGCTACTTTAATCGAGTATTGGGATTTGATTGTCACATTTATAACGTACCCATGACCTCAAAATTCAGAGCGCAATTTTTTGACATGCGAGGAGGAGAGCGGTAAACAGAGCACGATTCACGGAATGCCAGATCCATAGTCCAGTACGCTAACCATTAGGCCACATTTAGATCAAGGGGTTAAAGGAGCGTTAAAACAAGGAATTTGAGAGACTGGTACAATTCCGATACAGATATAGAAAAACTTATTAGAGTAATGGAAAATAAAAATACAACTTCAAACAAAATACCAGCCTTAAAGAGACTTAGGAAGAGAAACTAGTTATTTGGGTCTTTTACGTTTTTAGAAGTATACCAAAAAAAAAGTCACTTGTACTCACCATCACAGCTGCATATTTATAACATGAATAAAATGTAATATTTATTGAACTCAACAGCTATTCTCTACAAAATAATGCATCAATTCTAGTCATCCTGCATAACAAATATATCTATCATCCTTGTTATTTTTCACAGTAACAATATATATCTATCCATGGCTTAGCACTTAGTTTGCCTTGGCGGTAAATCCTAGGATTCGTGGTTTGCGATGCGCTTAAGCATATGTGTTCGACGTTTTGAAATCGTGGGTACACTGTACGAGTGACAGTCACATCCAATTATGCAGCAAGACAAGAATTCGTGATTTGTACTGTTGAAGAGCTACCTTCCCTCTAGTCTATCAGTTCAAAACTAAGTGACTATACACTTATAGCTATTATGTAGCTTTGGGTAAAATTCTGAAACAAACAAATGAAACTTATTTAGGCTTAAATAAAACTAATTTTAATTTTATATTCAATCATTTAATATATTTTAATTTTTTGATCATGTAGTCCTTTGTCTGGTCAGATTGAAATGTGAGATTCTAGTTACCTGTGTTGAACTATATATACATAGATTTATATAATTTAACAGCATAGATATCGCCATTTCTACATATGTGGACTAAATATGGTCTAGAGTCCCCAATATACCAAAAAATATATTATTCAATTGTAGCCCATTCCTCATGGAGTACAGCTATGCAAAAGGGTAAGATTTTAGTAGATTATTACAATGGTGGATGCAATGGTCAAGTTTATCCCAATGTTTCCCAACTGGATTGAGATTCAGCAATTGAATAGCTAAGAATTTTGAACAATGGCTCTTTAAAGATGATAGTGCAATATCTTTGGATGGGCATTATCAACAACAGTGTTCTGACAAATTGCAAATGTTAATCACCCTTTGGAATGAATTAAAGCATCCAGAGCCAGTCAAGGCAACATTCACCACACCACCTCCAGCAGTTTAAATCACTGAGAAAAACACAAGCTGCATCAAGTATGCACCTCACATGGTTTTCCAAATTATCTTATTTTACTCTTAGTATAGAAAAAGATCAAATATAACTCATTAGGCCACATCAGATGCTTCATTCACTGTACACAGTTCCACTCAAAGCACCATTGAAGAAATGCTTTCCAGTTCGCATCTAAAACAATGGGTTTATAGGCTGATTACCATATGATGATTTCTGTGATGTCCATGTTCAATTATCTTTGTAATTATTCAGTCACCACAGTTGGTAGCCAGTTTTTTTCTAGTGGTGGGTGTATCCCTTCTCTACTGACTCTGTTGATATCAGGTAACTAAGAACACCTAGTCAATTAAACAGTCATCAATAAGGATATTCCTGCTAAATGTTTCCCATCAACACACCTTTTTCAAAGTTTGAGAGAGTTTTGCTATTTCCAGTTGTCTTAGCACGATATGACTACCTCTCTGTGATTATAGCAATCTTCTGCACATCACTTGATAAATATATTTTACATGTGCAAGTAATTCAAGTGTCTTACTAATGTGTACAAGGCAAGGGCCCTAATAAATTACCAATGTATACTTATCACATCAACATATAAATTAATCTTTGTATCTGAATAATCTGAAGAACAACTTCATATTCAGCTTACCTTTCCTTCTGTATGATGTATTAAACCATATCACAGCTATATTTATCAATTCATCAGTTATCCCTCTGGAATATTGTCTGCAAGTCAATAAGTGTTAAAAAAATTAAAACTTCTTCCAAGTAACATCTTTTACATGTACTGAAATCATTGATTTTGTAAAATAAACTCTGGAAATTTCTGCTCTTGGATTTGTCATATTCCCTTTTATTGAAGCCCATGATTCATTTGTTGTTATGTGATGCATACAGAATTTAAAATATCAAGTCTAATTATTCCAGTAATTAGTAGAGCTATGAAGTGTTAGTCAGTAATTCAAACACAAAACCAGATAACCAAACATTTTTATTATGTCAATAAATATAAATCACAAACATACAAATGTGTACTTCTATGTTACAAAAACAAAAGTTTGCACATTTTTAGATTCACAAGTAAGAATTTTTCACATAACAAAAAACAGTGTTTGGAAATATCTGTTCATTAATAACAAAAACATGGATAACAAATTAAGTGCAAATAAACATAATTTGATATAAATACATAAAATATTTTCACAAACTCTAGGCTATGTATCCTTCTACATTCAATTCCAATTATTAGAACAGAAACGAAACTAAATGTCACCTCTAGATAACAGCTTCATGAGGCACAGTCCAATTCCTACAGAACAGTCACAGTTCCAAACCGATAGCAATAAAATAAATGTAACAAAAACCTGTAACCACTTGATTTTGTGAGATACAAGTCATATTACCAGTGTCAATCATTAGAAAGCTTTAAAATCCACAAGATACTCACATGTTTAGTTTTTTAATTAATTTCTAATGACATATTTCCTTCTGCTCAACAATAAATTACAATACACATGGAAACCAAAACTTTAATATGTTTACAGTTTATCTACATGATAGCTGAGCAGCTTTGGTAATAAAATCACACAACTGTCAAGTCTGTTTCACTTAACATAGCATTGTAAGAGATTTTTATGAAAAATTATACATCAAACCTATCACATCATGCCATATTTAACTACAAACTAGCTATGTATAGATGAATCACAACAAAAATAAATTGGCAATTTATACTCAATTTTATAAGCTTTGTCAACTCAGTGCATAATTTAATTCACACAAGTTCAAGATAAAAAAAATTACATTTTGATATGAATACTTAGTATCCTGAGTATAAGATTATTCAATCCTAGAAACATGTTAAAATCATGTAAGAAGTATAATGAAAGGAAGTACCTTCCTTTTGAGCCAGTCAATGAACTTCGATACTGCTAATTCCATTCAATGTATTATAAAATATCTGAATTATTGAAAAAAAAAGTATTTGATAAGTTCTAAGAACTTATGAATGAAAACAGACACAAAATATTATAATATGTCAACCATGCTACACTTACACCATTTAGTGTCTACTGAGGTCTTTTGCTCAATACCAAGGATCAACAGATTGGTTAGGATTCAACAGACTTAGTAGTGGTCTAAGTTCTATTTATTTCATCAATTTCCTTGAACAACAACTGTTATGGTGTGAACTATATTAATTAATTGGATTGTAGTTATCATCAACTTTATTTAAGTCATTAACAAGTCAGATTTTAGGGTAAGTATTAAAAGCACATTATGATTTATTGAGCATACATTTAAAATAGAGGTTATTAGGAAAGTCTTGGGTACATTTTCACAATTTTCTCATATTCTCTGTTTATAGGTACTTAACACTATAAATTAATCTATCAATAATACAGTAAACAATAATAATTAACTTATATCAAGAAAATCATTACAAAAGGTGATTCTGCATGTAACTTAACACAGTAAAAAATTGGTATTTGAAGTTTTAGCAGTATAGAGAAATATTTTAATAGATTTATAGTTAAAATAATTGACAAAAATGAGCACATCTTTATGAAGTAATCTTCTAAACAGAGAATAAGTTAATTATCATATAATTATAATGTATAATCATTTATGCTAAAATCAAATTATGATTATTATTACTGATCTCAATATTTTCGTTTACACTATTATTTTAATAACAAATTAAAATATATATATTTATTTTTTTACTACAACATGATCCTGTCATTATAAGAGCTCAAGAAAAAGTACTAAAGCTTAAAGTATTTGTTAACGCTCAGTACAATTAAAAAAAAAAGGAAATTCTCCATCAAAATATAGCAGTATTATTTTAACTTGATACACTCAGATTTGGCCTAGAAAACAAAAAGTTGAGCAAAAAACTGATATTAGTACTAATGGCTCCACAGTCTACGATAATATTTGTTAAACTTTAAATCATTAGGTGAAACCAAGCATTATAAGAATATTTCAATTCACAAATCAATATATCTTTGAATTATGGCTTAGTTTGATATCCAACAATTAAAAAATTTTAATTTTGTTTTCAAAATTAATGCCCTGATTTTTTTGGAATTCATCATATAAGAGTACTTTGGAACATAAAAGTTTCTACCAAGGTAGACTTAGAAATTAACTGGCACCACAACTTTCATATTTTAGTTATATCTGCCCTCCAGAATTGTTCGTAGTAATGGTCCAACCTGTAAATATACAAAGATGGAACATAGCATTAAAAATACAACAAAATAGAATTTATGTATGATAGACACATTTACCCAACAAAACTGCAGTATTAAACAATTGTTTGAATAAATTATGTTTTATTCTTTCGACTTTACAGCTTTAAGACAAAAGGAATGTATGTCTACCTTACTTCCATCAATACATACTGCTTCTATAGATGTATAGTCTGAGAAGAAGGTTTGGAAGTCAAATATTAAACAATTTAAAAGTGCAAGCTTTTTCTTTGTTATGTCCATCTTTTTACTTTTTGTATAACAATACAAAAAAGTGTTCCTGTCCAATCAACTTTCAGTTGATCCAAGAAATTATCAGATCAAACATGCACAGAAAAACATGATGTTAAAACTCAAATCACATAGAAATATTATATACTTTACATCTGAATATCAGTGCTTTTCTACTTTGACAAAGCCATTCAAAATTTGCATGCAAAATATTTCTTTTTATTAATCACATTACTTTAAATAAGAAAATTACAAGTTTATGTTTTATTGCTGGTAACAGCCCATTAATATATTTCCTGTAATAAAGGAAACAAGACTTAACAGTATTCCAAGTAAGGCCTCACAAGAGTCAAGTATAAATGTTTACTATTAAATTTGAATTTTCAGTATATGGAACAAAGAATCTTATTAGTTCTGATTACCACAACTTGTTCTGATCAATCTGAATTAAAGAATTCTTTTCAGTAATAATTCTCTATAGCAATTTGACATCATCAGTAAATCTATGTAGTTTACAGCCCAATTAGCTCTCAATATCATTTATGTACACAGTGAACCACAAATGTTTTAAAGTAGAACCCTCAGGAACCTCACCATCACTAAAAACCTCTAATCTATTACCATGTGCTGTTTCTATGACATAACTATGAGGGGTTAAAATTTAGACCCTGGAGTGACCATCTAAGAGAAAGTAAGCAACTGAAATACAATGTTTGCATTTACTAGATATCACTGGACAGATCAGATCCAAAATAACAAACTAAATCAAAGGATATTTACGGACATGGGTTCCTGCAGAAATTTTTCTGGGGGGGGGGGGGAGGAGTGTGAAATTGTGAATTGAATAAAAACATTTATATACATATGCTGAAGTAATAAAGAAAGAATTATATTTCTCATTTTCCAGGTGGTGGCAGGTGTTCCCACTTGAAAGATTTTTCATACATTAAGTATATATTTACAAGATTCCTCATCTTCTGATATGTGTTAAGAATTGCCTTAGCAATTACAAAAGAATAATAATAATAAATTGTGAGTAAATCATTTCACTTGCTGAATGTGATGAAGGTAATAAAACCTTATGGTGATAAATGTATCAAAAGAGATTTGATACTAAGATAAAGTATTATTTGATGAAAATAAAGCTTAAAAGCTTTCCTGTTCTTAAACTATTAAATGTTTATTGATTTGACTTTGATCTTGGTGTATTTGATGATTACTTTGTCAGTTGTTCAAAACAAAAGGAGAATATAATGAATGGAATGCTAGGAAGATCTTTGTTTTTGAATAAAAGAAAATTACACTCTAAAACTGAATGGTAACAAAGTCAAACAAGTTTTGGTGATGAAAAATTCACTGTGAGACAAAAAAGTTTGAAAAAGGCTTGAATGGTTAATGAAAACTTTATTACAATTTTAACACAGTAATAAATGTACAATGTTTCGACAAGGTTTTGTCATCATCAGGTACAAGCAGAATCAGGTTAAACAATATGGCAAACACACATGGGTGTGGGGCCCAGACCAGAAAGAGGTCCATGATGGCAGCATAATGAATGAGGTTCCTTGAATGAAATGAGCTAATATACAACCAATTAGAAAAATTGACCCATTCATGGAACCATAAAAACAAAAATAAATCCAGGGAAAGAAAATGTTTTCTAATTTTCCCAAACTATAAAAGTGTATATGAAGAATTGATAAACATATTGGCAGAAAACCTAACAGAGAAAATATCAAATATGATAAAAAGGAATAAATATCACTCCATTATTGTGGATTTAACTCCAGACTGTTCAAATGAAGACCAACTTGGTTTAGTAATTCAATACGGTACTGAAGATGATGAACAAGCATTGGTATTTTTAGGTTTCACTGCCTTAGAAGAAAGGCATACAGGAAATTATTTGGTAGAAATTGTTTTGGAAGAAATTAAAGTGAAAAATTGAAATATCAGATTGTGTTGGCCAATCTTATGAAAATGCAGCAAATTTATCTGGCACATATACATAATGGAGTGCAAAAGAGATGAATCTATGCAGGCTGTATACATACCATGTGCTATGCACAGCCTAAATGTATCAAGCAAAACAGCTATGAAAGCTTCTGAAGCATGTACTAGTTTCTTCAGTCTTCTGCAAAAGCTTTATAATATTTTCAGTGGTTCAACTCAAAGACAGCAAAAATTACATCAATACATTTCAGGAGAAAAGCTTTTAACATCCTTATCAACTACACAATTTTCAGTTCATTTCTAAGCTGCTTATGCATTACACAGCAGATATAAAGAAATGTTAGAATGCTTGGATAACCTTTTAAAAGATGAGTTCTTGAACCAAGATGCAAAAACAGAAGTCTAAAACTTGAGAAAAGAACTAATGTACCTGGACACAGTATTACTATGTGTTATTCTAAAGGGTATGCTGACAAGAATTAATACTGTTTGTGCTTGAAGACAAGAAACTTGAACCAATTCGAGTCAGTGCTACACTTCATTATCAAGCTTAACTGAATATGCATCAAGTTAACACAGTGAGAAAATTTGGGTTATTTTGAAAGAGAAAAAAATCTGTTGGAAGAATTAAATGGACAGGATTTTGAACTTTTGTTCCAGAGCAAAGGAAAGAAGAAAAAAGTGAAAAAGAAATTCTTTGGCATATTAGAAGCATAGAAAAGTGATTTCAATATTACCGGAAAGTTCTATGATAATTTTCAAGCAAATACTTTTTTAAATGCTAGATATACTAATTAATGATCTTAAGCAATGCAGTCTAATTCATAAAAACTCAACAATGTGTTCACTTTCATATGGAATAGACAGATGTCAATAGCTTAGTTTGTCGAATTATATGGAGAAAATATTAACAACAGCCTAAAAGAAGAATTATTACAGTATCATTCATATAGGGATGGTTTTTCCATGATGGCAAACTTGATCCAAAATGAAGTTAATTAAAAACTACCTAAGAACAATGATGATGCAAAACAGGCTCTCAAACCTCACATTGCTAAGTATTGAAGCCGATATGGTCGAAACTTTAGATACAGAAGAAATTATTGATAAATCACCCAAGTACATAAAATGTTATTTCAAAAGTGCATTATATGTAGAGTGAACTATACCGTGAAGTGTGATAACACTATACAAGTAACAATACAGTCATGCTTGTTTATAATAGTATTATATTAGTTTGATTTTAATATTATTATTTTGTTATAAAAGGAATTAATATATTTTTATATATTCTTGTTGAATTTTCTCTTTAAATGTTGGGTTCATGATTGAGGGGCCTATAACATTTCCTGTGAATGGGACCTCATCTGGTTCTGGATAGAAGCAGTTTATACAGACCCAATATGGAACAAGGGGGTCACATGACTAGAGATTCCTTAACTTCTTACTATAGATATCTTAGCACCACAAGATGCTGGTGTAGAGAAGGGCTATTTTGTTCAATTAAGATTGCTTCTTTGCCTTTTTGTTTGTTGATGTTTGGTTGTTTAAAATTAGTATTTTAAACAGATGTGTGATGTTTTTTTTGAGCTACAGTGGTGGTAAACATGGGAGGGTTTTTATTATGTTTGGTAAATCTGGTTTCCGCTTTTCTTCTAGTTTCTCCAATTTGGACATCTAAGCATCATTTTCTTTAAATCTCGTTGTTGAGGCTCTGCTTGAATATGTATGGGAATAATTTTAAGCCATTTCTAAATTGAATAAAAAAGATTTCTGAGGCCACATTATCATAAGTAATTGTAATTTTCTGTAATATTCTGCAGCCATTCTAGTTAGAAAAATGAGTATTTAAGATATATTTCATATTTTTTGTGGTTGTTACAATGTTGGTAAAAATGACTGAGCCTGTATACATAGTGTTAATCAAACACATTTCAGACACTATGTCTTTAACAAAATTTCACCAAAAACATTGGAACAAAATGAGTTTGAAGATGCCTGATTCAACTGTTCATATTAAGACCACCCTCTCATTTAAAGAAAATGCTATAAATAATTTTATTGCTTCAAAGTCTATGTTGAACTGTTGTACTTCAGATATTTATTCACCAAAATTCAAACAAAAATGATGCAGAACATAAATTATTAGCATTGTTACCATCTGTAAAATGAAATATACATCTAGTATAAAAAAAATATATTTCTATGCAAACTATTTTCATTAAAAAAAAATGCTTTTCCTGAAGTTGTTGTATGCACTTGTGTGTATGTGTAATTTGTATATGATAAATATCAAAATCCCAATGAGAACTGTTTCAAAATTATCCTAATGAACACATCAAATTGCTCTAATACAAAAGAATATGTTATTCCAAAGATTTATCAGCATCTTAAAAATACAACAAAATAGAATTTATGTATGATAGACAAATTTACCCAACAAAACTGCAGTATTAAACAATCACTTGAATAAATTATGGTTTATTCTTTTCACTTTACAGTTTTAAGACAAAAGGATTGTAAACATTAAACAATTGAAAAGTGCAAGCTTTTTCTTTGTTATGTCCATCTTTTTTACTTCTTGTATAACAATACCAAAAAGTGTTCTTATATCTAAAATCACCAACCAAAACCCTAAAAAATAATGACTAAATTAGCATTTAGTAGGATAATAAGTGGAAATTTAAAACAAGTATGTTACGAAAACCTATATTTTCAACAGACTTTTGTACAAACCAGCAAATTTCCTCTGAAACACTCCTGAATCCATTTCAGATTGTTAAATCACAAATATAGATTTCAACATCACAAGTATGTTATTGTTCTTATATGTGTACCCTTTTACAGGCTGAACCCTGCCCTTCAAAAAGTTCTTATTCATACCTGTGTCTATGTAAACTGTTTGCACCTAATGATGACAAAACCATGTCAAAATGTTGTATATTTATTGCTGTGATAAATTTGTAATACAGTTTTCTTTATTACCCATTCAAGCTGTCTTCACACTTTATAAACATCAAATAAGATAATAAAGTAGGAATATCATTATTGCTTAATTACTCACTTCATTTACATCCCTGAGTGCTTCGACAAGCATTTTCTCCACATTCCTCATAATTGCCATTTTCTGGTAACCTTCTAGTGGATACAATGTGGAATCTGATAAACAAAGATTTGGTCCAGCCTAAAACAAGAAATTTATTACTGTCAATTAAACTTAATACAGCTCTGTGCACTTGACAGTCATTTTAAGAATGAATGAATCTAAAATTTACGAGCTTAATTCCAAGACAGCAAATCAATGAAGCTAGATAGCAAAACACTTTCATACATCATTCAGTGATGATACAAGTATTGTGGAAATAGTTCATGTGTAAATTGTCGAGAAAAGAAACAAAAAAGAAGAGCATCTCTTTTTTTTTCAGACTGGAAATCACAGCATTTACATATCACACATAACAATAATACCTAAACTAGTTGTATGATATATTCAAACTGTATGCACTAACACAAAACTCAAATGTTTCAAAAAAAAAAAGGAAAATACATCTAAGATATCTGGGACAGAATTACTTTCATTAGAAGTGTAATAAAATGCATGTTATAAAGACAGATGTAATTTGATTATACAAACTTTAAAAAAATGACATCTTAATGGAGGAAATGTTAGATTTGTAAATTTCGTACAACTGACTTCACACCTTACCGTATTCATTTAGAATACAGTTTAGTGAATTCTCTCACATTTCTTACAATACATCAAATAAGTAGTGCAAAAACTTTCATTATATATAACTTTTGAGGTCAAAGAAAATGAGAAAAGTTAATTTATGAATATATACAGAAAAATTCAAGTTGTAACTAAATTGAACATTCATCAATGCCCACTTTCTTAGTCGTATTTACTATAAACTATGCAGTTAAGTTTCTATTACCAATGGTTTATTTACCTTGTACCAAAAATTTAATGAAATGGTAAAGTGAGTTTGAAGAAGAGATTCCACATGATGCCACCAGTACAATGGTAGATACAAAACATCACCTGGACCCAATAATGCCTCATGTCCTTTGATGTCATGAAATTTTGGAAATTTGGTATAATCTGGATAGTCAAAGTCAACCTAGATAATAAAGAAAATATACATTTTAAACATTGGACTTATATTATTAAAACTGATAGATTGCTGGAAAGAGGGAGAGTTTAAAGAATCAAAGAAAGCAAATACAATTGTACATTTCACAAATATTTTATTTATTACCATGATTTTGCCCATAAAGGCATTGTCAGGTGACATAGTTTGGTAATAAGTTGCATAATGTGCTAATATGCCAAGAAAATATATTAAAAACAACTTTCAGAAATTTACAAACATTAATTTTGTAATAAATATACTGAGACTCAGCTTTAACTTATGTCATTATTTTTAATTTTTTTTTGCAGACACTGGTATTTAATTCTGAATTGTTTACAGAATATACTAACTTCTTTAATATAACATTACACCCTAAAGAAAAGAAATACAATCAAAATTGAACAAATTCAGCAATGTATTAAAAAAAATTTTAAAGTCTGAATTCAGAAAAATAAATATCAAAATATCTTTCTCTTTTCCTTACAACCCTTGCAAAGAAGAAAAAGCACAACTTAAATATCATTAATAGTACTGTTACGTCTCCGTTTGTTAATTGATTTTCCGTAACTTCGTTCAGACGAAACTTAAGCGACACAAGTCCTTTCTTAATAAAACTGGTTTATTCTTTCTGAATATAACTTTACCGATACACTCAACTTCAACAATCGCGCTAAACAAACAGTATCACGAACAAACGTTAACTTCAACAATACCCTGTGACTGCAGTTCAATTACACACTGTCTACACACACATTACAATCTATTCCCCGCGTCACGTTGTCACCCTCATTTATATACCTGACTACCCTATATCTAGTAAATACTAGAGCATTCATGACGGAACTGGTGTGGCGCCCTCTAGTTTCTAGAACTATCTTGTCACGTGACCTCGATGACGCAACAATACTAATTCCTAGTCAGAGGAAGCTATCAACGTGAAAGGAAACTATAAATCAACCTGGTGATGAGTGTAGCTAATTAAATGCATTTTTCTTATATTTTTACTTATAAAGATACAAAATGATAATAAGAGCTTAAATTTAACGTGAGCTAAAACCAGTGGTGATCAGTACACTGCAACGGTACACTACTACCCGAAACGAGTTAAATAAGAATTAAAATATAGACGTGAAACGTTTTAAAAGGTCATGAAACTCTATAAAATTTTTAAACCTTGAATCGGTAGCAAGAATATTGCTGAATTTTGTGTTGTTTAAAATATGATAAGATAAACCTCATTTGTGACAAACAAGAACGGATTAAATAATATTACAGTATTCTTAAATTTAATTAGTTTCATATATTCTCATTAGAAGAGGACACCGTGCCAAAGACCCGTATGTCTGTTGCTGAGTTACAAAAACATTTTCGTCGATACGCAGAGGGCGCTTTCTCCTTGTCACGGTGTCAATACCCATCCAAAAGCTCAAGACGGGCAAAGTAATTTTACGTGATTGACAATTGTCTAATGAAAAGTCGCACTACTAATACAGACCTAGCTGTGAGGATCTTATTTAATCGAGTACAGTATTTGGTCAAAGATTAGTTTGTAACTGTGGGGATCTTATTAATCGAGTACAGTATTTGGTAAAAGATTAGTTTGTAACTGTGGGGATCTTATTAATCGAGTACAGTATTTGGTAGAAGATTAGTTTGTAACTGTGGGGATCTTGTTAATCGAGTACAGTATTTGGTAGAAGAATAGTTTGTAACTGTGGGGATCTTATTAATCGAGTACAGTATTTGGTAGAAGATTAGTTTGTAACTGTGGGGATCTTATTAATCGAGTACAGTATTTGGTAG